AGAGCCCCCATCTGCGGTGACATCTACCCAAACCATTATTTGTGGCGGGTGCTGAGCCCTGGTGGTCAACCGATGACTTAGATCGGTTATTATCGTTTTGAGAGTTTACGAATTGCTCTATTGGAAAAATTTTTTCGTCACAAAACACAATGTTCGCAAATATGAAGGCTTTCGGCCAAACGAAGCAACTGCTTGGCTTTCTCAAGTCTTACTTGTTGMTGCTTTGGTGTGAGATCATAAGCCTTTTGGAACTTGTAAGGCTTGACCTTGAGCTAATTTTTCAATATGAGTCGGATGCTGCGGTCGGATATTTTCAGTTGTATAGCCTTTCCGAACTATGACGTGACGTTGCAGTCTTTTGATGAKCACCTCCATAGCGCTTTGCGATGCTACCAGTATCATTGTAACGAGTGATGAAGCGATAAACAAAAACTTTATTCACATTAAGGTGTTTGAGCCCACGAACAATTGCTGGCTGTATTTTTCCAGCTAAATRCTTATAAAGCAATCACACTATTACGTTTTAATTCCRTCGCTGATCACTTTTTTGCGTTCACTTGTGGCAAAACGCTTTCGTACACTTGTAACCAATACTCCGAACTGTCATTCAGCAAATTTATAAACAGCTGATTCCAGTGCGACAGCTGCGGGAACAGTCTAAAGTTGGTTACACTTCCAGTGCCGGACCCTGTAATCATATATGAGTGAATTTTTAAACGCGTTTTTCTCAAAACGGCATTTTTCAAAATTTCTGACATCATAACTCAACGAGAAATTAAMCGATCGACTTCAAATTAAAGCTACGATCTTTTCGATCGGTTGAAAATTGTCAATTTGGCATAAAAAACTACCATTTTTTTAATCTAAAAAACGATTATTTTTTTCAAAATTACGCCATTTTGTTAATTTATGATATTTTTCAAAGATCGTAGGTCATTGTATAGGAAATAACTTTAAATTTAATAAACTTTTTGAATTTTTTTGTTTCRGTTACTCATCATGTAAGCAGTTGGGGCACGTTTAATAATATCAAAAATTTGTCAACATGAAAGCCATCACTCAATTAAATACGTTTCAAAGTAGTATATATTATTCGGAAAGTAGATCTAAATATATGGTATCATTTCCGGTGACCCCTCGGAAAAAAGATGTTTTCGCGTTGGCAGAATAACTTTTTACAGGATCATCTAAAGTGTTTTAATTAAAACCTAATCTTAGAACTTGGGCGAAGGAAAAAAAACTGAAAACTGGATTTTTGGTAGATATTTTAACAAAAAGAAAAATAAAATTTCAAATAGTTGTAATCGAAAAAAAATTMTTTCGTCCTTTGCAAAATTTCAAGAAGATCTTCTCGTCTTAAGTAGTTCCAGGGAAATCTTGCCAACCGACTTCAAAAACACAGTTTCGAAAACGCGTTTAAAGACTTAGCCCAGCTAGCCTCGAGCGCACAAGTTCTCAGAGCTGTATCTCCGAAACTATTACGTAAATTTAGAATAATATTCTAGAGGTGTTGTAGAATTTCATAAGATAATAACAAAAAAAAACACTTTTTTTAAACCTGTAAATCCATGTTACCCCTTAAGGATTTTGTCCTTAGGTTTACATAGAAAATAAAATCTGAAAGCATTTCAAATTGCTAAATGAATGCTATACAAAATTATTCTTCAATTCTGGGAAAACTTTCAAAAAATGAACTCCATTTGCTAACTGGGTAGTTGTATCATATTTGTTTATCCCACACACGCTTTCAATAGCGTCTTTAGAATTATTTCAGGCGGTGGTACTATGTTTCTTTTCGAGTGATTGCAATTCTCTTTCGCATCTCAAGATTTTCGCTTTTATATTTTAATCTCTCTCTTTTAATTAAAACAAAAATATGCAAAAATAATTTTTAAGTACATAATATAATCTAACCTGCAGCATTTAATTTCGTTACAGCTATTTGGATTCGAACGCCATTGAGTACATTTCAGAGGAGATGTTTGCAAAGCTTGCTACTTTGAATCTGTTGTAAGTAGATTTTGAAAATATCTGAACATATTTTTTATACTCTTGCAACATGTTGCTACAGAGTATAATACAAATAGCATAAAAGCACTTCGTTGCCTAGGCTAAGCAAAGAGTTTTTATTTAAAACTCAATTTAATTTGACCGATAGGCACAGCAAACGACGCCATGTTTTTTCCCGCTTTTTTGTCATTTCTCTTCAGTAAGGTTTGTCATTTCATCATGGAAAGATATACGATCCAACAACAAGTCGAAATTATTAAAAATTATTACCGCAATTCGAAGTCAGTAGCCTAAACATTAAGAGTGTTATGTCCAAAATGTGGTCGTCATAATCGTCCTATCCGATTAACAATGGAGCGTCTAGGAAAAATTTGAATCCACAAGCACAGTACAAAACGTTCCCGTGTCAGTGAGAAAAAGAAGTGCGCGTTGTGTCCAGAATATTGCTGCCGCTAGCACATCGAGAGCACATTGAGAGATACCCAAATCAGTATCTCATATGTATTTATCAAGAGTTGGGCATATATATGAAGTCGTTGTGACGAAAGTTGTGAAAATATCTTGACCTACATCCTTACAAGATCAAACTGAAGCAAGAACTGAAGCCGCTTGACCGTCAGAATCGTCATATGTATGTTCGTGAATTGGGCTGAGTAACAACTTGAAAATGATCCGGATTTTCATCGAAAAATCATCTTCACCGATGAAGCTCACTTCTGGCTGAATGGCTTTGTCAATGAGCAAATTATGCATTATTGGATTTACTGTACGTCTACGTGTGTGATCTATGCCAACAAGTCAGCGAAGATTGATGAACTTCGCAGTAATATCGAACGTGAAATAGCAGTAGTATAGACGAATTTATGCTTGAAAACTGATGAAAATTGGATTCAGCGTCTGAACTTCTGCAAGCGAAGTCGAGTTCCATACATAACGTCGCCAATTTACTTTCACAGGGGTAAAGAATTTTCATGATATCCCAAACTGTTTTGGTTTGCTTTAAAAATGTAGCGCTCTTATTGAAAAACCCATGTCAAGTTTTTCGCAGTTCTATATACCTTTATAACCTGCGACTTTTTCCATTAAATTGATCGGTATACAAAACTAAGAATTGCATTGAAGAGTAAAGAAATACCCTTTACAGCAATATATGGTAACTCAATTTGCATTTTTGGGGTAATATTATCATGTTCTGGCGACTTTTTTGGATAAAGTTCTTTATGATTCTAATAATTTCAGACGGTAAAGTCTTAAAATAATAGAGCGACTCATTAGCTTTATTGGTAAAATTGACAGATTAATTATTATACAAATTACAATTAACCTCTTCTTCGTCCCTTCGAACCTGATTTTCACTCAAGTATCGTATAAGCAATGTTTGAGTCAACTGGTGGGTTCATGGATTCGGTGGCTTCATACTGCTACAACTGGTACTCGTATATATTTTAAAAAATATTTATAAAAACCAGCCTTTTTGCCATTGTTGTTCATCGGTGACTTGAAAATACGCTCAAMACTTGTTTTCATCAAAAATATACAACAAAAGTACATAAACCTATTTTTAGTGCATAGCAAGTTTAAATATTTATCGCTAATTTTTCGATTTTTTTTTGCCTTAAGGAAATGCTTAAATATAAACAACACATAAGCTGCCAGTAAAGAGTTTTAATTTTGAATCATTGAAWTTTCCCAAATTGTTGTTTTAATTTTCCAGCATTTGTATATGGAATTCTTTGAAAGTAAACAATGTGATTTTGCTACTTCGAGTAAAAGCTAAAGAGTGGCATAACTTAAATGCTCAGCCATTATATTGTGGCATGCTTTGCCTGCCGCTCAGTCAACTACCTCTTCACATACGCACACACACACACACACTCCCACAAGCATTCTCTCGCCACAGACAAGCAAAATTTCGTCTGTGTATAAATATTCAGTTAATAAATTGTCTACATTGTTTTTATTTAATACCAATCATTTTTCACTGTCACCGCACGGAGTGGAGGGCGCTTGCACGACATTTAGTGTCAATATCGAGTACATTATGGTAAATCGGTGCAGCCAGCCTAGACAGTTCGGCATGCAATCACGTCACAGAACGGACAGAATATATTATCAAGCATAAAAAAAAATAATAATAATATAGGAAAAAAAACAAAATACAGTAACAACAACAACTACAACAAAGTGTTAGTGCTGTTGCGATAATTTACATGCGTTGCAGACACCTTCAGTTTTCTTGATTTGTTGCTGTCATTCGATTTTTTATTACAACAACTGTAGTATACAATAACAGCAACAAACACGTCAGCACAAAATATATTGCGGACGCTGTCTAAACAAATACACGCATTTAGTGCCTCTTTTTTGCTCAGCGAAATCGTCACCCTTCATTGTTCGGTGTGCGCCGCAAATGATTTTCACATTTGCTTAGACTATATTTATTTATGTATTTAATATTGTTAGTAAATGTGATTAATTTGTTTTGATATGAACTTTATTGCTTTTGTATCATTTCATGYCGCGTTACGGTTTTTTATGGGCTATTTTGAAGAGATCTCAATGACAATCGTATTACCCACATTCATCCGAGAGCATTTTGGGGTTTGAATGACATCAGAGATGTGTAAGTATGCAGTGTCGTAAGTTAAGCAATGTCAATTTCATAAGTACTATGTTATTTATGGTTAGAGTAATTAAATCGTTTACTTTTTCTATTATATTCGCAAAAGTATTACCGTTTGGTGCTACAGTGCGTATGAGTGACATTGCATTTGTGTCTTTCAAATGATTTAATTCGAACTGTTTGGGGCTTTCATTGCAATCTATGGTTATCTGCAATAAATTGTTTATTAAATTCACATATTTTTACTGTTTATATTTAAAATATATATATTTTTAAATTTGTGAGCATAAAACAAATTAATTACTTATACGTAACTCTCTAAATTAAATTAATATATTTAAAATAAGCAAAAATGTCAACTTCGTTTGCACCGAAGTTGTACTACCCACACATAATCACAAGTGCATTTCTTATAGCAAAACARCGTATACAAAGATATTTATTTTTATTTTAAGTGCTCATTTTATATGGCACTTATATGTTATATAGTGATCTGATCCGATAATTTGCTCGGATATTGTAACGTTGCTCTAAACAATAATTTATATGCTAAATTTCATGAAGTTATCTTGCCAAATAAGCAAGTTTTCTTTACAAAGATTGGCAAGTTTGTAACGCAGCTATATGTAATAGTGTTCCGATATGGGCGATTCTGATATGTTAATAATCTCTTCGTCGGATTCACCATCTCCTGATGTTATGCTTTTACTTCCATTCAGCGGGCTGGAGAATTGTTCTCTCCATAATTTTAGTATGCAGTGGACATCAGTCACTACATCAACTCTGGGGGTTCTACAAGAGTATATTATATATATATTATACTCCGGTCTTGAAAACTTCTGTGAGTCACYGYATYTTTTCGTAGAATTTTTGAGCATTACTCCTTTCGGTCAMCTTGTCAAGTTCTTCGTACTCAYGCAYTTCTCTTCGTTTTTTGTTTACAAATGCGTCTTGCTKCCCTCTTCAACTCTCGATATCTATCCCATCACGCACWTRTTGTWTTCGAWTGTAAAGTTATGAAGTAGACAGTCTGCTTTCTTTTCACTGCGACACGGCATTCCTCATCGTACCAGCTATTCTTTTGTCTTTTCCGAAACCAATGGTTTCGTTTGCAGCTGTRCGTAAAATTTCTGAATAGCCATTCCAYAGTTCCCTTATACCGAGTTTCTGACACTGCTCACAGAGAGCAGGAGCCCATGTCGAGTAGAAAATCGTTTTGCTGTCTGCTGTAATTGCAGCTTCTCGATGTCGAACCTTCATTGTGTTTGTTRACGTGCATTTTTTCCTGCATAAAGGCGGGTGTGGTTCTAGWCYGCAACAAGATAGTGGTGCGAGTCGATGTTAGCACCTCGGAGCGTACGTAGTACATCTAAAACACTGGAGACTTGTCTTCCGTCTATCACAACATGATCGATCTGGTTGGTGGCTTTTCGATCCGGAGACAGCCAGCTTGATGAATTTTCCTATACTAGAATCTAGTACTATGGATAAGCATATTTGTCATGGGGGCTGAATTTACCGACCGTAGTACCAAAGATAATTTCTTTGCCCACCCTGGCGTCAAAGTCGCTAAGCACGATTTTAACATTGTGTCGGGGGCAGATCTCGTAGGTGCATTCCAAGCGCTCATAGAAGGCATATTTGGTCACATCGTCCATATCTTCCATCGGAGCGTGAACGCAAATCTGCGTGAAGAACTTCGCTTTGATGTGGATTGTGGCTAGACGTTCATCCACCGAGGTGAATACCAGTACTCGGCAACGGAGTCTCTCTCACCATGAATCCCACACCGAATTTGCGCTCCTTTATATGTCTAATGGTAAGTTAACACCGATTGAAATAACGAAAGTTTTTTCCCGAAAGGGTCAGTCTATAGAAAAGAAAATAAATTGGATAATGTTTCGAACTCATTAAACTTTTTCTGGCTGACTTAATCGCTCCGTATGCAGTAAGCATGATTTCTAATACAGCTTGGTGTAACGATAATCTAGTTCTCAAAAGAAGACCTGAATTATCTTCGGGTGATTGAAATAGCTACGTTGTACACGTTTGTGGCTATTGAGAATTTATGGCAAGTTTGAAAACAATTCTAGCAAATTAGTTGAAGCAGTAAGAGAGGGAATAGTATTTAGTATTTTATTCTTTCTCTCAACTAAATCTCATGTTTCCTTTGTTCAATACCAGCACTACACAAAACTGTTMAATGAAYTGGACAAGTTTCTCTATAAAAGGTTTATTAATAGTACAGAGTCTTCAATCAAGTCGAACCCTAAGCTCTTTTGGAACCTTGTAAAATCTAGAAAAGCGTGTTCGGCCATTCAATCTGCTTTAAGCTGGGGTGATAAGTTCGCGTGCACACCTGGCGACATCTCCAACCTGTTTGCTGAATTTTTCCAATCGAATTATGTTCATGACGATCCTGGTATTAGTTCCACTCATTCGGCTAATAACTTCCCATCCATAAATTTTGGCACACTGTGTCTTTCACAGGATGATATTGCCAAGGCTATTTCTGATATTAAGTCTTCTCCCAAATTGGATTTGGATAGGCTTCCACCTGTACTTATAAAAAATTGTACCGCCTTGGTATATCCTCTCATGCTTATCTTCAATAAGTCTCTCTCCTCTGGGAATTTTATTGCTGACTGGAAATTGACATGCATTACCCCTATTCTGAAAGGTGGTAGAAAAGACATAGTCTCCAATTACAGGCCTACCTCCAAACTTTTTCCTGTTTCGAAAATTTTTGAGTATTCTGTTAAAAACAAATTATTTTTTGCAGTAAAATCTATAATCAATGTCAATCAGCATGGGGTTCCATGTCTCAAACTGTCTCAAACTTAGCGGTTTTTAGCGATTATTGTATGTCTGCATTCTCCGCTGGATTTCAGGTGGATTGTGTCAACAAAGATTTCTCTAAAGCCTTTGGTAATGTTTCACACAAAATTCTAATCAAAAAATTGTCATCTTTAGGGTTTCACTCGGTTTTCTTGCAGTGGATTAAATCATATCTGCACAATAGACGATGCATTGTCAGCGTCGATGGAGTGTCATGTGATACATTCATTGCGTCTTCAGGAGTACCACAAGCAAGCGTCTTGGGTCCACTTCTCTTTGTGCTGTTTATCAATGACATTTCCTGTTGCTTCTCTTTCGCTAACTTTCTGTTATATGCAGATAACTTAAAAATTTTTGCAACAATCAAAAATCCACAAGATGCATCCAAACTCCAACGAGATATTGATACTTTTTATGATTGGTGCCTGAAATCGAAGCTTTTTCTGAATCCAGATAAATGCTCTCAGATCTCTTATGGTAGGGGATGCAACATTTTATCCTCAAGTTACAATATTTCTAATTGCGTCCTAAAATGCGTTACTGAAATCAAAGATCTTGGGGTAATCTTTGACAACAGATTTTCTTTCAGTAGTCACATCAACT